GCTCAAAATAGAAAAAAAATTGCTTTTCTATTTTGAGCGCGGGTTTTTCTGGTCTAAGTATATCTTATTTTTATCACGAATTATTTTCCTTGGTTAACAATAATTGTAGTTTTGCCAATAGCTGGAGGTTCCTTAATTTTCTTATTTCCTCATAAAGGAATAAGGTGATTAGGTGGTAATACTATTTGTATATGCTTAATGGATCTCCTTCTAACAACCTATGCATTTTGTTATCATTTAGAATTGGATGATCCACTAATTCAATTGACAGAGAATTATAAATGGATCCATTTTTTTTGACTTTTACTGGAGATTCGGAATAGATGGACTCTCTTTAGACCCAATTATAATTGACAGGATTTATCACCACTTTAGCTACGTTAGCAGCTCAGCCGGTTACTCGAGAATCACCATTTTTTTATTTCCTGATGTTAGCAATGTATAGTGGTCAATAGGATCATTTTCTTCTCGAGACATTTTACTTTTTTTTCATCATGTGGGAATTAGAATAATTCCCGTTTATCTACTTTTATCTATGTGGGGGGGTAAGAAACGTTTGTATTCAGCTACAAAGTTTATTTTGTACACTGCAGGAAGTTCCATTTTTTTATTAATGGGAATTCTGGCTATGGGTTTATATGGTTCTAATGAACCAACATTAAATTTTGAATCATTAACTAATCAATCGTATCCCATGGCGCTGGAAATAATTTTCTATATGGGATTTTTTTATTGCTTTTACTGTCAAATCGCCAATTATACCTTTCCATACATGGTTACCAGACACCCACGGGGAGGCACATTACAGCACTGTATGCTTTTAGCCGGAATCTTATTAAAAATGGGAGCATATGGATTGGTTCGAATTAATATGGAATTATTATCCCGCGCTCATTCTATATTTTGCCCCTGGTTAATGCTATTAGGTTCAATTCAAATAATCTATGCAGCTTCAACATCTCTTGGTCAACGTAATTTAAAAAAAAGAATAGCTTATTCCTCAGTATCTCATATGGGTTTCTTAATTATAGGAATTAGTTCTATAAGCGATACGGGACTTAATGGCGCTATTTTACAAATAATCTCTCATGGATTTATTGGCGCTGCGCTTTTTTTCTTGGCGGGAACTAGTTATGATAGACTACGTCTTCTTTATCTCGACGAAATGGGCGGAATGGCTATCCCAATGCCAAAAATATTCACCATTTTCACTATTTTATCGATGGCTTCTCTTGCATTGCCGGGCATGAGCGGTTTTGTTGCAGAATTGATAGTTTTTTTTGGAATAATTACCAGCCAAAAATATCTTTTAATTACAAAAATACTAATCACTTTTGTAACAGCAATTGGAATGATATTAACTCCCATTTATTTATTATCTATCTTACGGCAGATGTTCTATGGATACAAGCTTTTTAATACACCAAACTCTTATTTTTTTGATTCTGGGCCACGAGAATTATTTATTTCAATTTCGATCCTTATACCCGTACTATGTATTGGTATTTATCCGGATTTCATTTTCTCATTCTCGGCTAACAAAGTTGAAGCTATTCTATCCAATTTTTTATAGATAGTTTTCGTGAATATGAATAAATGAAAAAAAAAAAAGAAAAAATAGTAAAAAATCTTATGTACAATAAACAAAATATTTTTTTCTTGTATTAACTTACAAAAAAATGAATTTAAGTTGTAATTGAATATGCTTGTTGTTTGTGAGAACCCCTTGAATCACTACTACATTACTTGATTTAAAGGGTTCTCGATGATTTATGGGAAGTTTGCTTCATATATATATATTCTTTCTTATATATAATATAATGAATGGTTTCCATATTTATATTTGTGAAGTTTTTTTTCACTCACTTTAATTCAATTAGATGTAAATGAACCATAACTATGTAGTCCTATTCCTAATAGATTTATTCCTAAATAACATACCCAAATTATAAAAAAGCCCATAGAGGCCACTATTGAAGAATTTAAATTTTCTACTTTTTTCTTTTTTCTAGTATGTAAATAAATTGCGAATATAGTCCAAGTAATAAAAGCCCAAGTTTCCTTTGGATCCCAATTCCAATATGACCCCCATGTCTCATTAGCCCATACTGCTCCTGAAATAATACCTATTGTTAAAAGGATAAAACCTAGACTAATAATACGGTAACCCCAACGATCTAATTGTTGAATAAATTGAGACCTGTAATAATTTCTAGAAGAAGAAAAAGAAGTTTTTTGTAAAACATTATTTCTTTCATTCATATTCATGTATTTGATTTCAGCAAACGAAAATGATTCATTTAAAAAATACAAATTATTGCTTTTACCAATAATTTGTATGAGTTCTCGAAATGAAATGACTAAAATAGCTACTGATAATAATGATCCACATAAAAGAGTTGCATAACCCAATATCATCATACTTACATGCATAATTAACCAATGGGATTGTAGAGCAGGTACTAATAGTACGGATTTTTGCATTTCGGTTAAAAGACCTGAAGTAGCAAAGCCTTGGGTAAAAATAACACTTGGTGCGATTATTGTATTTAAATAGTTGTTTTTATGCTTTTTGAAGCATGGAACCATATAAAAAATGGAAAAATTCCATGAAAGAAAGATTAATGATTCATATAAATCACTAAATGGTAAATGGCCCGAAAAAACCCAACGAGTAACTAACAATCCTGTTATACAGAAAAAAGTTATTATCATGCCTTTTTTGGACGAATCATATAATCCTAGGATTTCATTGACCGATAAAGTTATCAAATGAATTGAAATTACAATTGATACAACCGAAAACGATATATGAATTAATATATGCTCTAAAGTTGAAAATATCATATAGAATAAATAAAAATCAGAATACTAGGAATAGAAATAGGAATTGAGTTCATTATAGGACTTATTCTTTTGGAGGATAAGATATCATGCCGCTACTCGGACTTGAACCGAGATGCTCTAGCACTGCTTCCTAAGAGCAGCGTGTCTACCAATTTCACCATAGCGGCTTACTCGAAATCATAATAACCAATTTTTAGTCAATTGTCAAGATTCAAATAAAGAATCAATTAAAGTGTAATATTTGTTTACTAAACATTAACGAATTAAAAGAAGTCTATTAGAGAATCTATTAGAATTTTCGAAATTCTATATCTATATATATATTATTATTCTATATTCTTATTCTAAATATATTACATTTTTTCTTATTCTAAATATATTACATTTTAGAAAATTTTAGAAAGGAATAGAAAAATAAAATTAAGAATATAGAATAAATAAAAAAATGGTGAAATTTTTCATCAAAAATGGAACACTACATTCAAAGTATTTTTTTATTTAGAATATCGTTATACATATCCTAAATTTGTAGAATACTAATTTAGATATGAAAAACGAATTTAGATATTCCAATTATATTAGTATTTTAATATTCAAAAATGTTATTTGAATAAAGTTAATTCAGATTATTCTGACGTTTGTATTTGTTACAAAAAAAACTTTTTGAATTCCCCGTAAAAATAGATTGTGCTAATGAAAAAGCTTTTAATGTTGTCCAATATCCCCTCTTTTTCCAAAAATTTTTTCGAATGATTTTTTTTGATATAGAAGTGCGCTTTTTTGGAACTGCCATCGAGTTAGTATAGTTTTTCATTGTTATAGTTCGATGTGAAAGACATTTTTTTCTGTAAATGAAAAGGAATTCTTCTTTAATTACCCATATATCTTATGTATCTTAATGCTCCCTTTTTGCTTCCTATCTCTAAAGTAAAACATTGAATATTATAACTCTTTTTCCAGACATGAATATCTTTTTATTGTAATGGAAAATACTCAATTAGTTCAAAAATGAACTAATGCTTAAAAAAAAAAGAATTATTGAGTAATGTCGTAGGAATTGTAATTTTTTAATGAATATCAAAATAAACGAATCTTCGTAGTTTTAGTGTAATTCATTATTTATCCTCACTCTATACTTTTGTATAATTGTAAAAAAAAAAATAGAAATTCACATTTTTATTTTTACATATTTCCTTTTTATTATTTTATTAAAATTACATTCATTATTTATTATAGTAATAGTAATAAATATGAGAAAAAAAAAAGAAACTCTTTTTTTTTTTTTTACTAGGAATAGGAATTTGGTTATTGGTCCATTTTCAGTTTGTACTTAGTAATATTCGAATGGAACAAAGATTCAGAACAATTAATGTAATTCTATTTCTAGATTCACTTCTTTTATTAACCGACCCTTTTCTTTACAAAAGAGATGAAACAAAACTGACGAATAAGAAACAAAATTCATTAAGAATCCAATCCATTTGTTTTGTTTTTGTATGGAATATACACATCAATCTTCATGGATCATACCTTTCATTCCATTTCCAGTTCCTATGTTAATAGGAGTGGGATTTCTACTTTTTCCGACGGCAACAAAAAATCTTCGCCGTATATGGGCTTTTCCTAGTATTTTTTATTAACTATAGTTATGATTTTTTCGATTGATCTGTCTATTTATCAAATCAATAAGGGTTCCATCTATCAATATGTATGGTCTTGGACCATAAATAATGATCTTTCTTTAGAGTTTGGATACTTGATCGATTCACTTACTTCTATTATGTCAATTTTAATTACTACTGTTGGCATTCTGGTTCTTATTTATAGTGATAATTATATGTCTCATGATCAAGGATATTTGAGATTTTTTGCTTATATTACTTTTTTTAATATTTCAATGTTGGGTTTAGTTACTAGCTCGAATTTGATACAAATTTATATTTTTTGGGAATTGGTTGGAATGTGTTCTTATTTATTAATAGGTTTTTGGTTCACACGTCCTATTGCAGCAAATGCTTGTCAAAAAGCATTTGTAACGAATCGTATAGGAGATTTTGGTTTATTATTAGGAATTTTAGGTTTTTATTGGATAACGGGTAGTTTAGAATTTCGGGATTTGTTTCAAATAGTCAGTAATTTGATTTATAAAAATGAAGTTAATATTTTTTTTCTTACTTTATCCGCCCTCTTGTTATTTTGTGGCTCAGTTGCTAAATCTGCCCAATTTCCCCTTCATGTATGGTTACCAGATGCTATGGAAGGACCTACTCCCATTTCCGCTCTTATACATGCTGCTACTATGGTAGCGGCGGGAATTTTTCTTGTAGCTCGACTTCTTCCTCTTTTCATAGTTCTACCTTACATAATGAATGGAATAGCTTTTATAGGTATAATAACAGTAGTCTTAGGAGCTACTTTAGCTATTGCTCAAAAAGATATTAAGAAAGATTTGGCCTATTCCACAATGTCTCAATTGGGTTATATGATATTAGCTCTAGGTATGGGATCTTATCGAGCCGCTTTATTTCATTTGATTACTCATGCTTATTCAAAAGCATTGTTATTTTTAGGATCTGGATCCATTATTCATTCAATGGAAGCTATTGTTGGATATTCTCCAGCTAAAAGTC